TCTATAGGTCAAAATGTTGCTGAAGCCTCTTAAAAATATATGACTTGTTCCCACAGTTTAACCCCCTTAGCTTGACTAACAAAATATTCTGACAAGCTGCTGTGCAAGAAGTACAAAAGTATTGTGTTTTTATAAATGCAGTTTCTTTACAAATAAATAAATACATATTTTAACTTATTTAGTTTTGTTTCTCTGTGCAGCTAAGCTAAACAATATATTTTTATTTCCTTCGTTGTTCACTGACCTGTCTTCTTAAGTGTAGGTTGTGTTCGTCAAATTTAGCTAACAGATTCATTGCTGTGTGAAATGACACCCCCCCCCCCTCTTCCTTTTTACACTAAAACTGGGGTGCAGTTCAGAGCCAGTGACAATTTAATTTAACCAATGAAGAGAACTCACCCCAAAACACAGAGGGTGGGGGATGGGGGGCAGAAGACGAGGGTTGAAAGAAATTATGGATGAAAAGCTGAGCTGAACAAATTAAATCTCATTTTCTCCTAACTCACTCTGAGAATTGTTTCAGACGTATTTCAGAAAGAAAGAAAAAACTTTGGAATAGCACTACAATATTGTTTTAGTATCAAAGTTCATGCTCAATAATCCAGGTCAAATAATCCAACACAGTTAAGTCATGGATGGTTTCTTTTTGTTGAAATGTTTCGTCTTTCATCCAAAGGACTTCATCAGTCCAAGGAGCCACAACAAACTCAGTCTTATAAATAGCACACTCACACAGTGGGCCAACCAGTTGGATGGTGATATGAAGGTTTCTGGAGTCCGCCCTCTCCTCTGAGGCAGCCACGGCCAAAGTGGTTCAAAACATCAAAGTTCATGCTCAATAATCCAGGAAAAAAATCCAACAGTCTTATCACAGTTTATCATCTTATCACTGTCAAATTGCCCACTATGTGAGTGTGCTGCTTATGGGACTGAGTTTGTTGTGGCTTCTTGGACTGATGAAGTCAGCTGGATGAAAGGATAAAATAGGAAGCGTTTCAACAAAAAGAAACCGACCAGAGGACCTGACTTAACTTTGTTGGATTGTTTTAATACTTATTTGAAGTCAAATGATGTTTGTCTACTTTAGAAAAAGTTTAATTTCTTCTCATGCTCTCAGCCATTCCATTTCTTCCACTTCTCTTCCTTTTATAATTTATTTTTCTTTTTTATAGATACACATGTTCATTCAGTTTGGGCTCAATTTCAACATCTCGCTTCCTTATTCAGGTTGCTGAGCTAATTTCCTGTGTGGATAAGATTAAGATAAAGTTATTGATAGAGTCCAGCACTTTTAAGAGGCTAAACTTATTGGGACAAGACATCTGGAAGTCATTCCTATACATAAATGGAAAACCTGGAGCAAAACTATTACAGGTAAAAAACAAAGAGTCAAATTTACAAATTTAAAGAACTAAATAGTTTCCAGTACGGGTAGTCTCTCGTTTATTACAGGGGATCCGTATCCTGAAGCCCCACGATAAGTGAAAAACCGTGAAGTAGGAATAGTAGTACAAGTAGTAAGTAGTAGTAAATTTTAGTATATATAAAAAGGCATTTTAAGCCCTTCCCACACTCTTGTAATATTCTAAACAATGTTTCTAAACTCTCAACGCTTTAAAAGAACACAGAATGTCATGATTTCAGCTCCCTGCCTCCGCTGCTCTAGGTATGCCATCAGCCAGCTCTCTTGGCCACGCCCACTTTTTTGCTTTAGAGCAGAGATCAACTGATCAGCTGCAAGAGGAAGCTTTTCCTGCAGTGTGGGCTGCACACAGACCTGTGCACCAGGTGCTAAATAATTAAAAATAATTTATTTTAAATAAAAATTCCATCATGTCCACTCTTTCTCTGAAAAACTGCGATAGCGCGAGTATACAAAAAACGAAACACAAAGTAGCGAGGGACTACACTACAAAAATATACAGATGACTGGACTCAGTTTGTTTGTTAAGTTAAGTTAAATTTAAATAAAAGAATAAAGAAAAAAGCCACCAAAGTCAGCCATCTTTTGTTCTCATGGTAGATATTTGAAATACTCAATTTAATTATTCCCTAGATCTTTTGGAGTTGTTTAGTGTTGTGTCCTTGATTGTCTTGGCTGCCTGACGAATAATTTATTCCCTCTCTTTGTTTAAAGATGTTGTCTGACATAAAGAAGTGTCCTAATGTAACACCAAGTTGGTGTTCTTAAGCGTCTTTAGAAGTTATTATTTTGGCGTTAGTGATTTTTCATCTGACCAGAGGGGAAAAAAAAAACGAAGCATTTGGTCCGTTTGACAGTTCTTCCTCTTAAACATGTGCATTTCCTTACAGAGAGTTGGAGGTTTTACAACTGACCCGTGGTTCTACATCAAAACGTGTTGATGTTTATCATGATAATGGGACCGATTTCATTTCACTTTTGTACACAGCCCAGTGCGTGCAAACCAACAGACAGAAATAGATGTGATTATTCTGGATTTCATGTGTTTGACTGAAGACCAGTGATGCAGAAAATAACAAGAGGCTGCTGAACTGTAAAGATGTTCCATCATTATCAGCTGTCCTTCTAGAAAAAAGTTTTTTTTTAAATTTTCTTTATCTCCAGACTAATTGCATACATTATCCTTGTGTGTCATATATGTTACTTTGTAAAGGAACATGGCCTTCTCAGGAATGACATTCATTTACATTTGTGAGACGCTGCTACTCTTCTAGGGCAGTTTTCATGTTGAAAGGAAGTTTGTTATTTTTCTCAGGAGAAATTAAGAGCTCTGATCTGAGAGAGAGAAAAAAGAAGACATGCTGAATCTTTGTTCTTTCTCCGTTTTAATTAGTCATTTTCTTCTTGTTGCTACTTTTCTTTGATTTCTTCTCTTCTTTGTCTATTTTTTTGGTTTTGTTTTAACCTTTACTTCCCCTTTCCTTTAATTTCTTCCTCTTCTATCTCAGTTACCTTCGTGTCTATCTTCTTTGATGAGCAGAGGGGTCTGGGCTTCCTTCTCTCGGCTGCTCTCAGTTTGTCGACACACCTTCAGAGGTGATATAGAAAGACGAAAAAAGACACCGTTGTGTTATCTCCTCTCCTCCTCTTCTGTCACCACCCCATCCTTCCTTTTTCCTCCGGTTTCTCTGAAGTGAAGTTTCCTCTCTTGTCAGGCTGTTGTCTCCTGTGTTGCCGTGAAACGACACAGGAGTCAAAACAAGAGCGAGCTCTGAAGCGCCCCCTCCATACTGAACAGATCCCTCAGAACAAGAGAAACAACAGAAAGAAAAAAGAGAGAAGCGTAGAGACAATGAGCATGCGTGTGTGTATGTTTTTTACTGAGTAAATGGGAGTACCTGCTGTGTTCGTACCCGTGTGACTGTGTGTTCTTCTCAAAGCATTTATTGTTCTGTTTTCGTTTTATTCTGGAGGAACGGATTTTGTTTTTGTTCTCCACCAGCTTGCCACTTTTTTTTTTTTTTTTTTTTTTTTTGGTCTTCCCGTGTAGCAGTATAAAAACAAAGCATGGGAAAACATCACAGATGTTGAGACATGTCACCTTGTCCCCTTTGGCTGAGTGATGCTCCTTTTAGACCCCTGTCTGAAAAAAGTGGATTTTTCGAGCTAATGAGTTTTGTTAGCACAAAGCAGCAGCTCAGAGCACAGACACAGCAGCTAAAATACACAAAACTGTTTCTGAGTCTGTGAAGTAGCATTAGGCGAAATAAACATTAAAACTTTAACAGAGAAATTTGGCACATATTGGTGTTTTACAACTTGTAGAAACTGACGTCTAATTTAACTCTTTCAGCAGAGGCCTAACAGAAAAACTGTAACACTAAGCTGTAATTTGATGTTCTCGTATTAAAAATCAGCACTTATAACGTGAAAAGGTTTTACTTGTCCATGTAAAACTAGAGTTCTTTCCAAATTTACAGTTTAATTAAGCACGTTTGTTTCAGGATCTTAATTGTTGCCAATCATGACAAGTTGGCACTGTATGGTAACGTCAACTGTAAGTTTACTAGTGTTGTTTTCCGAAGCCATTTAAAAGTCCAGCTCACCGTTTATAAGCTTACAGATTAACTATATGAGCTACAGAAATATTAGATAATCTGTAAAATAAAATGTTGGCAGGACTATTTTTTTAGAAAGAAAACAAAGAGTATATATCAGAAGTGCAAAATCACGTTGATTAAATGCTAAAAATGAAGTCCCGCAGGGATCTGTTCTTGGTCCAATAATATAAATACGTTCTATTAATGACCTATCAATATCTACTAAAAATAAATATTTGCTAACAATGACTAAAACTTGTATCATGCAGATTATGAATCTCTTATGCCAAGGCAGCAACCAAGGTAAATTATGTGTTAGGTCTGTTCAGATCTTTTACTTATATTGACAGAGGCCTTTTTATTATTGCATGAAAGTTCTGTTAGACTTTAGCATGAATAGTGTGCACAAGTCTGGTCCCCTTATATGAGAGGAGATAAACATTAGTTACTTTTCAAGACATGTTGGGCTGTGTGTACTTTTTATATTCTTTGTCTCACAAATAAATGCATTTTATTTACTCAAATGAGGTCCTTAAACACCAATTATGTGTATTCTGTGTGAGCAGACAAATCACAAGTGCATCGTACCTCCTAACTCTGACAATCTTTGGGAACACACTTTAAATCTGTGTAATACAAGTTAGAGTGAAATCCAAGAGATGACAGATGTCAGAAACCAACAGTTTAATTCAGTTCAATTCACTTTATTTATATAGCGTAAAGTCACAACAGAAGTTATCTCAGGGCGCTGAACAGAAACATATATTTACATAAAAAGTGAGTTAATAACATTATTTATCTGAGGACCAGTGTGATGCGCTGCTTTGTTAAAGAAACAACAATGCACGACACCACAAATAAAAAGCAAAACGTAACAAACACATACATCACACGAGTGATCGTTCCTGCTACAACAGACTAAATGATGTTTATTACAAAAGAAATAAATGTTTGGGTTTCGTCTTCTTTTTTGTCAGGTGATGAGTGGTACCTGTGTGGGCTGACTCTGAGCATGCCCAGTCAGGCTGACCTGCAGTGGGCCATGTTTCCATCCCCTTACCTGGCCACCATCAGTCCTGATGCCTCTCCTGGCTCCATAGTATACCGACTGTCGGCACGGCAACGAGATGGGACACTGGGACAGGCCCAGTTCCTCCAGTTGGATGGTGAGTGATTTCCCTTGTTGTAATGTTTATCATTTCTTTCTTTATTGTAATTATGTATAAAATAAAATAAAAAAACTCACTTTATTAAAAAGCATATTCTTGTGTCCCAGTATGATGAGCAGTAAATTAAACGCAGCACATTTCTGAAAGTCCTCAGAAAAAGACAATTAAGATTTAATAAAGAACATTTTAGTCATGACAACAAATATAGTTAAAATGCATGAAATAGTCTATTAACATGCAAATTGATGTCACTCTATTTGCAAAAGATTTTTTTTTTTTGCTTGCTACAGTCAAGCTTTCTGTTTCCAGTCAATTTTCCCCAAAACCGGTCATGCCTTTGCTTTTATCTGCTGCCTGTATCTGTAATTAGGTTTGCTGCTGCTCTGCCAGGCTCTCTGTGACAAACCTGTTTAGCTCAAAGCAGTGATTTATAAATAAAAATTGACTTGTTGGATTTCAATTATCGTCGAGAGGGAGAAAATAAGGCACATAAACACAGCACGGCGCTGCACCGATAATCACTCCCTGGGGCACAGAACGCTCCCAGATATGGGAATAAGGCAAAGTCTCTGGAGAGGTACTGAGTAGGAGAGGAGAAGGGTGGGCGTATGGGTGCCGGTGGCTTTTTAAAAATATTTTTATTTTTCCACATTAGTAAAAAAAAGAGAAGAAAAGAAGGGCTTTTATTTTTAGAGCTAATTTTAATGCTCTTGTATTAAAATCTTCAGACTTCCCTTTGGCATAATGCGACAAATAATCCAATAATTTGTATTAAAAATGCTATTTGTCATCATGCCATATTAAATATATAGTGTACACGTAAGCAGTGTAATAGCAATTTAATTTTTGTTGTAAAAAGAAATAATCCATTTGCTACATAAAAATGGCACAATAGCTTATTTATTTACTACTTTTTATTATTCCATAAAATGCGTGTCATCGTCGACAATCACTGTGTAACCTACTGTTAAAATAGTTTTGGTAAAAAGTCCTGGTGCGATCAGGTCTGACCAGATATTTTGAAGTTTGAGTAAACTGGTGCTGATAACCACAACATGCACTCTCACAGAGACAAATTCCAGTTGTCAGTTAGATCCAGTCAAGTTTAAAAAAAAGTTTGATATTTTCAGCAAACATGAACATCATAAATTTAGGACAAACCTTACATTAAAGTTTGTCTGGACAATTCTCCTCAACGTGTGTACTGTTTCATGCAGGTCCCATCACACCCACTTTGTTTCATTCTCTTTTTGAAGCTTTGTTTCCCCCCTTTAATAACCTGCAACATGCATTCAACCTCCTGAATGCTCTGGTATTTATGCTGACTAAGTCTGGGTAGCAATCTCCTAAAATTAAGCATAAGACTGATTCTCATCTTGTTTCCTTTTTCAGTGAGGTTTCTTCATGCCTGGGACATCTAACATTAACGGCTTTATCAGCCTGTTGAAGTCACAGCATTCAGTTATATAGCTGTTAGTTTTAACGTTTAACATTCCTAATGTGATGGAAAAGCCATGGCATATAAAGACTTTGGTCACTCACAAAAGAGCAGACAGTAAATCAATTAAGGTTTATCAATAATTGTATCAAAAAATTAATGGCTTGTCCATGTATATGTACAGCAGAAGGTGTGCCAAAAGCACAATAGTTGCAAATGTGGCAAAGTCAAGTGGAAACAGCTTACAGTGTATTGAATGTTGTTTTTTCATTTTATATTATGAGTTACATTAATTTTTAATCATTAAAAATATGATATTTCATGGAAACACCATCACTGCTTTTTGTCAGATGAGAAGATTCCCAACCTCACAGAACTCCATAAACCCTTTATTATTGCAGTTTTTACATAAAAGTATGTTTTCATCCAGGCAGCACGATGGCGCAACTGGTAGAGCTGCTGCCTCTCAGCGAAAAGGTTGCTGGTTCAAATCCCGGTCCAGGGGCCATTCTGGGTGGAGTTTGCGTGTTCTCTCCGAGCATGTGTGGGTTTTCTATGGGTACTCCAGTTTCCTCCCACAGACCAAAAGCATGCATGTTAGGCTGATTGGTAACTAAATTGTCCCTAGGTGTGAATGAGAGTGAAGGCATGGAAGGCTTCAGATTTCTTAAATTTTTACAATCAGAAGACTGAAGTCTTTGTGGTTAGTTCAACCTTTGTAAACCTGGACTCCCTTCAGCCATATCTTAAGCAGTCTGTTAAAATTTTTGGGATGGTTTTAGACTCTAACTCCAAGTTTGACAAACAAATCAACTCTGTTCTGCAGAAAAACTTCTTCCAATTATGGCAGGTAGGTAGCTAAGCTCAAGCCAGTGTTATACAGACCCGACCTCGAGAAACGAGTCCATGTATTCATCACGACCCAATTGGACTACTGTAAAACACTGTAATGTGGGACTAACCTGCATAAATAAAGGTTGAATGAACTCTATGCTGGGGTCAGCCAGGCCTCCATCTCATATCTCCAGCTCGTCCAGAATGCTGCTGCATGGCTCTTGACCGGAACTCGTACGTTTGAGGATATTATACCTGTTCTGTCCTCCCTTCACTGGCTCCCTGTGCATACTAGAATACATTTTAAAATGATTCTATTACCTATCTATGGAACCATATGTTCCCTCTCGGGCCCTGAGATCATCCGATCTGCTGCTTCTGGCTGTTCCAAAAACAAGATTGAAGCTCAAAGGTGATCGGGCATTTTCAGTCATGGACCCCAAACTCTGGCACAACCTGCCCCCCAACATTAGGCAGACCACCTCCCTTCCTGTGTTCAAATCTCTGCTAAACACATGTTTTCTCTGGTATTCCACACAGAGCGAGTTAATTTTAATATTTTTGTTCTGTGTTCCTATGTTTCTAATGCTTTTAATTAATTCTTCATTATTATCATTAGTGTGTGTGTTTTTTTTTCCCCATTAATTTTACTCTCATTGATGTTATTGTTAAACACTTTGGTGACAGCTTCTGTTTTAATTGTGCTCTATAAATAACGTTGACTTGAGTACATTTTAAAGTTGTATTTAACACAGTATTTATTTGTTCCAATATCTACTCAATTACAACAAAACCTGCTCATTTTGACTGTTAAAAAATAACTAAAAGCCTTATATTCATGATAAAATAATTGTGCACTTCATACAACACCTACATTTTATTTCTTAGTGTTTACATATATATATATATATATATATATATATATATATATATATATATATATATATATGGCGTAATCAGATATATTGCTATTGTTTTGATTGGCAATAAAATTTTGAATTTGAAGGAGGAGGGGTTAAATGAATGCAATATTTACGATAGTTGGGGAAATCAAGATAAGCAGATTTTTTAAGAGTTTTACTGTTGAAATCTTTTTTCACTGAGACTCACAAACTTGAAGGGAAAATTTGCTCAGACAGATTTATTAGATGGACATGATTGACAGATTGGATGCAGCTGGCGGTACTGAACCCTCTGGTTAACAGCTGGGGATTCTTATTTCTCCTCTTCTTCATCTTTGCTTCCCTACTTCTTCTTCCCCATCTCTTTTACATCATTGCTCTGCCTCCTTTCATACAGTTTTTGCTCTACAGTCTCATTTCCTTCCCTTCCCTCGCATCATTTACACATTTCTTCCTCTGCTCCATCCCTCTGTCACCTCACTTCTTGTTCTTTATATTCTTTTTTTTTTCCCCTTATGGCCTTGACTTTTCCCATTCCTCTTCACATCCATCTCTGCATCCCTGCTATACTCCTGCCTCCCTCGTTCTGTCTCCTTACCCCAGGGGGACGTGGGTGAAAATGAGCCCACTCTCTTTTTTTTCTGAGTCTTCAGAGAGCGATAACTAGCTCACACAGAAATAAACACACAAGCAGTGTCCCTCCAGCATCAATTTGCCTCAATTGGCTTTTCATAATTGGACAGATGGGACTCCATCAAGTTATTTGGATACAAGCAGACAAGTAGAAAAACTAACTGGTTGTTTATATTTTTTTAAAAACCACACACATTGATATATTGTTCAACTAACAGCAACGGTAATTGTTTCCCAGTATTCGCACAACTATTTTTTACAAAACACAATCCCCGGTCCTTGCACATCTCATGGTGTCTCTGAGCAGGACACCCAATCCTGAATTGCTCCCCCGAGCGCTTAGCTGCCCACTGCTCCGCCTGGTGGTGGATGGGTTAAATGCAGAGAGAGCCAATTTCGTCTTTGTATGGGAACATACAATGACGACAAAACATAGCTCTTTATTATTATAATGACTTTATTCATTTAAATTCAAAAATACTTTATTAATCCCAGAGGGAAATTATATGTTGTGGTAACTCATCATCCTAGTTTCATTAAAGAGTTGTTCTAGATGCTGATGGCTGTGGGCAGGAAGGATCTCTTGTAGCGGTCTGTTGTACAACAGAATGAAGAAGCCTCTGACTGAAGACTCTGTTGTTGTATGACAGTCTGTTGAAGAGGATGCTGAGGGTTGTCTATAATGTTCTTCATTTTATGAAGAATCCTTCTTTGTACAGTCACCTCCAAAGGTTCTAGAGGAGTCTCCAGAACTGAGCCAGCCTTCTTTATGAGCTTGTTGATCTTTTTTGAGTCACTTGCTCTGGTGCTGCTACCCCAGCAGATGATGGCCGAAGAGATAGCGCTCGCCACAACCGACTTATAGAAGATATGCAGCATCTTGCTGAAAACACTGAAGGACTTCAGCTTCCTCAAGAAGTACAGTCTGCTCTGTCCCTTCTTGTAGACGGCTTGCATTTCCAGTCCAGTCTGTTGTCCAGGTGAACCCCGAGGTATTTATACTTCTCCACCACCTCCACTTCTTCTCCCATGATGGAAATAGGGTTGGACTTGTTCCTATTTTTTCTGAAATCTACAATCATCTCCTTTGTTTTGTTCACATTCAAGTTGAGATGATTGTTTCCACACCATGCCACAAAGCGGTCCACCAGTTCCCTCTACTCAGCTTCTTGTCCATCTCTGATACACCCGACCACTGCAGAGTCATCAGAATATTAATGCAGATGACAGTAGTCTGTTTTGTACTGGAAATCTGAGGTGTACAGAGTGAAAAGAAATGGTGAGAGTACAGTCCCCTGTGGTGCTCCTGAGCTACTGACCACCTGGTTAGACACACAACCCTTCAGTCTCACAAACTGTGGTCTGTTCGTCAGGTAGTCTTTGATCCAGGCGATTGTAGAGGCCTCCACCTGAGTCTTCTGGAGTTTCTCACAAAGCAAATCAGGCTGGATTGTGTTAAATGCACTGGAGAAATCAAAGAACATGACTCTCACAGTGCTGTCTGCCTTTTCTAGATGACAGTGAGTTTTCTGAAGCAGGTGTATGATGGCATCTTCAACTCCAAGTCCACGCCGATAAGCAAACTGCAGT